TCGTTTCTACCAAAAGAAAAAAAAAATAAAAATTATATCCACCTACTACTGTGCTGATACCATTGATTGGATGTGTTGGTTTTTTTTTTGATTGTGAGGTGTTTGCATCAGTCAGATTCCACTTGGCCTGTACTTCAAAAGCTCTGAGGTCCTGTTCCATAACCTGTACTTTTAGGTGCAAGTAATGAATGGTGTCAGGGTTTTTTACAGTGCTCGATTAGACTGGCTGTTCCTCGCCTGGCAATCTCTTTGATTTTGTGTTGCAATTGTGTTTTCTGCATGGCAACAAGGAGAAACTGCAGCTAGTCCAGCCTACAGCTGTGCTTTTGCCTGCTTGATGAACAAGTCCTGTTGTGCCCATCTCCAGGGGAGTCCATCAGCTCCTTGTTTGCTGCTGACTGCAATTCAGGAAGATATCTGCTAGCTTTATCACTTCTGTGAGCCCTAACTAAAGTCCTTCCTTCATATATTTCAGAATAAAACACAAAACTAAAGAGGCTTAAAGGTTCAGGACTAGAAGGTAGGAAACTTTTGTGGGAGCCCTTATTGTTGGGACAGCTGGCCATTGTAGAGCCAGGTTCTTACACTGTCCCTCACGGTGTGCAATGGAAGGTTACTTTTTGTTCAGTCCTGGCAGTTCATTATTGATTTACTGAACAGAAATATAATTTAAAACTGCAGGTGTCCATTTAATTTTTAAACAATATCTGGATGCTCTGTGGCTAGTTGTGTTGATATGTTACTTTTGCTTTGTAACTCTGTGGTTCACAGCATATTTCTTCTTTCTGAGAACTGGACTAGGAAAACACTTTGCTTCATGGGGTTTATTTTAAGTGAAAGATCATGTCTAAGAATGGATATGTGCAACTTCTCTAAAGCTAACTAACTTGAACAGACAAAATTGGGAAATCACAGCAATGGGAAGTTACTGATAATCCATTCAAATATTTTCAATTACTCAATGGCTTGTGGGACAATAAAGTTTGCTGTACTTTGATTTTGAATGATAGCCACTTGCTACAGTGCCATATTATTGATTGGCATTGAGGCTTAGCTTCATCATGTCAGACCTCAGCTTTTGACTGACAGGAAGACATTACTTGGTAGGGAGTTCATCTCAGATGTCATCTGAATTACTTTCAACAACCCTTATATCTCTGTGCTGACACCACAAGCTACCTGATCTGCGTTGTTCAGAAACTCCCAGACTTGAGAAGTGGATAATGGCTATTTTAATTTTATTTCTTTTGTGTTCTGTTCTTATATGAAAGTAGATTCTGATACCACCACATGATTCCATGAGTTCCATCAGTTTCAGTACTATAATGCTAAGATTTGACAGTGCTGCTGAGGGCCCCAAAACTAACTCTGCAATGACAGAACTTTTGATTCCACAAGTTTGAATTCACAAAATTTAATTAGCAATTAATGCTACTGCTACTAGAATTAAAATACCTCCAAATATGACTCACATCAAGCAAAAATTTGATGAGAATATAGAAAAATATCCAAGTGAAAATTCTCCTCAGCAAAGTGCAGTTTAATACATCCTTCACTTCTCTGTGACTCAGGAAGCTGTACCAGATTACAGTTCACAGCCAATACCCATTCCTGGGGTTTTGGAAATTGGCAGCTGGTATACACTTTATTTCTCAAATGTTGCTTTGACAGGATAAAACCACTTTTTATATAAAACTACAGGCTAAATCTGGGCTCTGACCTTGAAAAGGAAAATCCTGAGCACAAGTTCTTGTTTGCAAGTCATGTCTGGTTTTGCAATTTATGCATTCACTTCCTAATACAAAATGTCCTGGGATCAAAACCCAAAAAGTCATTCTTGCAGGGAAGATCTAAATTATTCATGTCAGACAGATGCAGATTTGGATTCCTTCAGGTTGGATACAGAGAGGGAGGTAGCCTAGAGGAGTGTCCCCATCACTCAGTTTCCCTTATAACACACCCTGTACATCAATATTTGACCTAGGTAAATGCACAAACAACATCTTATGTGTTATGGCTACTTTACTGTAGAAAATAGAGTAGTGATTTTCAGCCACCTGAAATGGTGTCTGAGGCAAGACTTTAGGCACCGGTCTTAACTTGGAAATATTCAATTTCACCTGAGCCCCAGGGAAGAGGGCCTTTTCAGAAGTCTCCTGATTAACTCTTTCCTTAGAGGAACTGGTGTCTGCAGTTCAGTATAGTAATTGTCAGGTGTCTAATTTTCATTAACAAATACTCCTCACAGTGCTGGAACTTTTAGTCTGCCTTAAAGTAACATATATTTAAGGGACTTTTTGAACGAGAATTTAACCCAGGCAGAATAATCTCCTAATATACTGGATGAATGCAAACCCTGTCCAAAGCTGCTGCCCAGACATCTGAAGTAGGATAGCTGCAGTAGTTTCAGGCAGAATACAGTATTTGGGTTTGGCTCTTCCTTGTATTAAAAATAAATAGATAAATAAATAAATAAATAAATAAATAAAATATTAAAAAAATCAGACTATTATTATGGTTTCTGTAACTACATAGTAGTAATGATGTCAGTTTGTCCACTCTATTAGTCTTCAATAGGAGTAGCCAAGTGATTGCATTGACAAAATCTGTATTTTTTTTTTTTTACTTGGTAAAGTAAATGCCTACCACTTCATATACTCTGCACTGTCAGAACCACTATTGCAATACCAAAGAAATGAGAAAGGAAAGAGACTGGCTTGATTCAGGGAAGGGATATGAATTGAAGGAACCTTGTTTAATTATCATAATGGATATTGTTAGGGAAAACATACAAATAATGTTTAGAGGCAGCCAAGCAGCTCTAGTACGGAGGAACATAGAATGACAAACAGCTTTTGTTTATAGCACAAAAAATGTGAGTATTGGCTAAGAAGTAGTGTTTATGGTAATTGAGCTTTACAAGGAAGTAAAACTTCATGGGGAACACAGGGGGTAGCATTTTCAGTGAAGTAGGCAATAAGGAGAGCTGTGTAGGCATTTCCTGATTAGCATCTGCTGTTTCAACAGCCAAGGAACATGACTCGCATGTAAATGCTTGTGCTAGGATTTAACAGGCATTCCCTCTAGCATGCCTCCCTGCCTTCTGGTTTTATTTTGAGTCTCCTCCAACCCTACTGTGACTTGAAATCGGTGGAGGAGAAAGGAGAGTAACACAAACAACAGATGTCTTAAAGTTTTGAACAGAGGGAGAAAAAGCCCCATGGCAAAGGAGAAGGTGCAGTTAAGGTGTTTTCCTGTCATTTTTATTCAGTGCCTCTAGTACAGACTCTATTTGCATTTTTGCATTTTTACATATCTATATATATGCAGTTGGTATGCAGTGGTACACATGGTGGGTAAAGAAGTGGTAGTGCAAAGAGATGCCCACTGCACAATTCAGAATTTTTTTTGCATCCTGTGAGTGTGACCTAGAGACACTAAGTGTACTGGCTGACACAGCCAAAGCAACCTCTTTTAGGGCAGGCTCACAAATTATTTCCCCAGCTGTTCTCTGTTTTTAGTCTCTTGCTGCATAAAATACTTTTTTTTTTTTTTAATCTGAAGTTCAAAGATTAGGAATGCTAATAGTGTGCCTGGTGTTCATCAAGACAGCTTTGATTACAGGTGGCAACTTAAGCCATGGCAATACAAATACCATGTACCCCATCACATTAGGAGAACTAGGTTGTGCACCAAGTGACATTCAGTGCACATTCAGAAAAGTCTTTAATCTGTGCTTTTTGGTATGAGGAACTGTGATTTCCAGAAAGCAAATCTGTGGCAGAAACAGCTGTGAAATTCTTACAATATATAGACAGCTGGGGATGGCATAGAGACCCTGAAAATACATTTCCTGCTGGGTGTTAACTCAGTACTGCATGGGGCCAGGAACAAAAAGAAATGGAAAAAAAAATACTGTGAACGAAAAAGTGAAAAGATGTGAAGTTTCCAGATTTTTTTTCTTTTTTGGGAAAGATAACTGAAAGAAATATAAAGAGTATTCAGGGCTGAGAACTTTGAGCTCTGAAATCTTTGCAAGCTACTTCCCCCTTTCCCACATCTACCTCCTCCTTTAATGTCTTATTTCTTCTACAGACTTCAGCAGATGTGTCCACAGACGGAAAATCACATTCACACAAAATCCTATTTTCTTGTGATATTTTAAATGTATATTTATTTGCTTATTAACTTGCTGGGTTTTTCCAAAGAATTTTGGCAATCCCTATCTCGATGGATATTCACACTGTTTATTTTGTTGGTTACTTTTGTTATAAATATTTATACATATATTTTAATTATTATATATATATATATGTAAAAATTATTTGTCTACTGGACTACAAAAGTTCATGCTTGGATTAACCAATATAGAGTTTAGGACAACTGCTGTTACTGAATGTGTCTTCTGAAAAAAAAAAGAAAAAGAAAAACCAGTTTTGAAATGAATGCTGAGGATGCCAGTAGGAATCACTGTTCTTTGTCCAGAAATTTGTACATCAAATGTGGTACATTCCTGGACTGTGGTGATATTTTCCTGGACTGCAGGGAATGCTATATATTACAATATGTTGGTAGCAGCACTTTAAGGATTAATATTAATTATTGTAAACAAGTGGGAGCCTGCTGCATTCAGTTAAGACAGAACAACTGTTATCTCATTAATGCTATTTTAGCACAGACTTTCTTAATCTTTGTAAGGATATCCTATCAGAAAAATAAGCATAACAATAATTATGCCCATATTTTAAACAGTGCTTTTATGCCTGTGTGGCTTTCTTTCTACTTTAAAATATACTATCTCTGTTGCACAGATGGGTAAACTGAGGCATGCATGGGAAGTGAAATAAGTTCACTGGAGGTCTTCCAGAGAAAGACAGAACTCCTGTTCTTAAAGCAGAAGCTTATCTTAAATCATATATAAAACTTTTCACAAGGTATTTGTAAATTAACAAATCCTGCATTTTAGAGATACCATTTAACATTTGCTTTTCTTCCCACAGGAACTTTTTACACCAGAGTGCAAATTCAAGGAGTCTGTTTTTGAAAATTATTATGTAATCTACTCATCCATGCTCTACAGACAACAGGAGTCCGGGAGGGCCTGGTTCTTGGGGCTGAACAAAGAAGGGCAGGTCATGAAAGGAAACAGAGTGAAGAAAACAAAACCAGCAGCTCATTTTCTACCCAAGCCATTGGAAGGTGAGGCTCAGTCCATCTCTGGCAGACTCCCCTATTGGTCTCACAAGAGGGAATGGTTTCCAAAATGCCCTTACTGAAGGTGCATGCCCCACACAAGGGCCAATCCCAATGCCCTTCCCAAAGTTTCACGGAGCAGTTTTGTGCTTCTGTGTAGTGATGTTACAAAGGACATGTGTAAAAACATTTTTCCAGGGACTGAGGTCATTCTACAAGAAAAGAAAAAGAAAATAAATCTTTTGAGGAAGAGCACTGTGCTGCTTTTAAAATATTCCGTTGTTAGGGACTTGTGAGTCTTGCAGTGAGAAAATAGTTCTTTCATTAGGCAGAATGAAATAATGAATATTGTAGCATGATTAGGAGTTGTAAAGGGAATGGATGAAATGTCAGCATTTCAAAGTAAAAGCTTTCTAATACAAAACATAAAGGTCTCTATAAAATAAATCATGATGTATTACTTTGCCAAGTGGTGTAATGTACTCAACTCGTGTAAGTTGGCCTTTAGACCAAGACAGGAGCAAGTAACAATCACAGTAATCTTACATACCAAAATGATGTCACATTCTCTGAAAAATCCATTTATATCTTGGAACTTTTGTGTTATTTGATGTATTCTGCAGGCTTTAACCCATGCTACCTTTTGCTTCTTGTCCTGATGGCAGTACTCATTGTTCTAATTGCTGCGCGTAGCCTCAGTCATTCTGAAAATTATCTCATTTCTTACCATCTGAAAACACATACCTGAGTAATACTTTTGTTAGAAGTCCAGTTTCCTTCTTGTGAAAGTTTACAGTTTTTTCATAAGCTCTCAACAATACTAATAATTTATATCTTGATCCCTCTTTATTAAATTAAGACTTAAAGGGAGGGAATACCAGTGCATTTTTTAAAGCAATGCAAATCTGTATGTACTCGGAAAGAAGTTACTTTTTTTAAATAATGTTTGGATGATCAGACTCCATCGAAATAGCTTAGACAATGCTTAGAAATAACTTGATTTACATTGCCTATGAGAATCATCAAATATGACAGCTCTGCTATTTAATTCCTTACTTTGTAGTTTCATTTCGTGCTGTTCAACATAATAATTTTGTAGGTCACCGTGTTATCTCACCAAGCTCTTTTAATTAATCATCAAAGTGCCCTAAACACGTTTATAGGCCACTATGAAGATATATATCATAATCAGCCTTATGTACTCTAGAGAAGACATTTAATTTCAGTCTTTCAGAAACTATAAAAGGATTTGGATTATGTCACTGGAAATGTTAGAACAAGTATTTGATTAATTAATGATGCTGTGGGGCCATTTACATTTATTATGAAACTTCACACCATTGAAGATCAAGGTCACTACTTTGATGCTCCAGCCTCCTACTCCAATTAGCCAAGGGATGAAGGAATTGTGCTCTCTGTGGTAGCACACACCCAGTCCAGAAATCAGTGTGAAATCATTCCTTTGACTGCTGTGACACCTCTCTTAACATTGGTCTGATATAAATAAATGCAACTGAAGTTAAGTGGAAATATTACCTGATACAGTGACGTGGAAAATGAAATTGAATTATCCAAGAGCATTAATCATTAAGGCAGCTTAATGCTGGAATTGTGTAATTGAATACATGTATTTCCCTCAAAAGATTTGAAGCGGTTAGATAGGGACTGAAGCCCAGGGAAAAACTTCTAATTCTTCTAAGAATTCAGTTAATGGTTTAACTTGGAGTTTTCTGCACTTCTGCTATCAGTGGAGATTAGTGGCTACTGCATATGTTTTTGGAAATGAGAAAGAAAACTCCCAAACCTCTTTTGTACTCTCCACATATCCTGGATATTTCTTCAGAATACACCTGAAGAAGTGACCATGGCCAAATCCCTCAGATTTGGGAGACTGATGTACATGTAACTTTGTAGAACTGGACCCTAGCCTATTCTTGCAATGTATGACTAAGAAAGAATATTTATGTCTAGACAACTGTATTGTATGAACCCACTTTTTATTTACAGTCTGTCTTATCACATTTTTTTACTTCTAAAAGCTTGCATGTTTATTTAATATTTATTTAAGTGTTGTATATACATACATGTGTATCCACATGTATATTTTTGTGTGCTTTTGGCAAAGACAGAACACTATTTCATTTCCAAGAAGCTATAGTATCCATTGAACAAGCAAGAATGCAGTCACCTACTGCATTTTTAATTCAGATGCAGAAGAAGTGTGAGAATTTTGGAGGCTTAAGCAATTCTATCAGTGATGTAAAACCAGTGTCTGTCAAAATAAACAGCTTCCCTGGTATGCAAGAGGAACATAGAAAATTAATCCTATTTGAGATGAACTCTCGTATGTGATACATTGTTAAAAATGCCTCTCCTTTTCTCTTCCTTCCCCTCAGTTGCCATGTATCGAGAACCATCTTTGCATGATATTGGAGAAACAGTGCCAAAGGCTGGGGTAACTCCAAGTAAAAGCACAAGTGCATCTGCAATAATGAATGGCGGCAAACCAGTGAACAAGAGCAAGACGACATAGCCAGATCCTCACAGGTGTTGTGACTTTACTGAGTCCCAAGTACAGTTGAGTGATTTATCCTTGCCAGACTTCCCCTCGGCAGTGTCTGTGGATCAGCTTGTGGCAAGTCACCAGCTTGCCCATTGCTGTTTCTGAACTGAGTTGTTGCAAGTGGATAAATCTCAACATGTAGCTCCACCACAACGAGAAGACACCTGGATGAACCAGCTAAACTCAGACCATGGAATGCCCTACCAGATATTGGAATGCCTTTTTAATATCTTTTCTGTGACTGTGACACTTCATGTGAATGACATACTTCACAAGTACACTTGATACCTTGCCTGCTGACAATTGCCCATAATCCCTTTTTGAGTCCAGTTTCAGCAAAATCCATGTGTTTAAGTTCTATTTTGTAGCACACAAATAATCAAGTAATTTCTAGTTAGATGCTGTAAACCTGTGCTATTATGGATTTCTCTTCTTCCCTTTTTTATAAGGCTGCTCGCTCCACTGTTTGTGACCTTTTGCAGGGATTGTGTTTCTCTATAACTTAAGTGTTGCCGGTGGCTTAGTTTTGAAAGCAATCAGGGAATCAGGAAGCCTTCAAAAATCTATTATTACAAATTATATCTATAAAGAATAGGATCGTTGTCTCTGGCTTAAAATATTGATTAAATGTGAATACTCTTTAGTAACAGATACTGTGCTTCTGAGGTTGGCATTAAAGTGGAGGGAAGAGTGTCAAACACAACCAACGGGGAGTTTTCTGAAACGTGTGTTTGGCATCCCCCTATAGTTTCTTTTTGTGTGTGTGTTTTATACATATCACAGGCTTACTGGTAATGGTAACATTTGCCTTGCCCAGCGAGCAAGACCCACTCATTTTTGGAAAAGTGGGTCCAAAGAATTTTGTAGGCCTTGTAGGTCTGAATTAAGGCTCATTTTTCATCTACTAAATCTTCATTGTTTGAAAAACAACCACCACCAGTAAAAGAAAAAAAAAAAAAGTAAGACTAATCAGAATTGCGCTACCTAACTCCATTTCAAATATAATCCTTTCCTGTTTTTAAGGAACTGAACTTAATGCCATTGTTATTTTTGGCTGAATCCCACACCTACTTAGCAAAGCATGGGCAAGGATGTTGTTGTGTTCTTTTTTGCAGCACCAATGCAAAGGGTAGTTAAAAATTATAGTTTAATATTTCTGGTGTTTTAAAAAAAGAAGTTTTAAAACTGGACATATTACAAAACTTTATTTTTATTTTTAGCTAAGCATGCAAAGTCCGGTCCTATGTATTTCACTGATATCCCAGTATGTACCTCCACCCAGCTTCCTAGGATAACATGCCCACCAAATTGCTAGATTGAAGGTGCCTTGCCTTGATCTCTATATACTGTACTTTCTCCTACATGAACCTAGAAAAATTCAAAAACATCATAAAATTGAAGCCTTGGATCATATTACCAGAAACAACATCAACCCTTTGAGTTTGTCACTTGTGAACAATTAAACCAGTGTTGTGGGGGATGAAGGAGGGCGGGGGAAAGATTTAGAGAATGCCACAGAGATGCCACTGAAGTTTTTTGCACGCTTAGTCACAGGCTTTCAGAAGATGAAAATTACGGGCACTCTCTGTATGCTTAAGAAGGAATTTGTTTCTTAGAAATGGCAGCAAAGATCAAACTGTATCTCAGCCTGGAAAACTGTGTGGCAACACTCTCTTGGCCTCTTGCTGTTACCTTGATATTTAAAGACAAAAAGAGGAAACCATCCTTTTTTAGCACTGTATTTCTGGCAATTTGTTTTATCAAATTTTTGAGCTGGAGTCCCTAACAGAGACTGCTGATTATTTCAAATTCCCTGTCTGCTCAGCTGAACAGTCTGATTCAGTCTGAATGAACTCTTCATACTAGTTTTCAAATGCATTCTGTTTTTATAAGCAACATTTAGTGCACTCTTCAAGGAGGCTACTGTAAAGCTGCTAAATTCTAGGTAAACTTTTTCTTTTTTTCTGTAGGTCAGACTTATTTTTGTATGTGTGATATGAGAACAGCAAGATATAATGCTTGATGTTGGGTCTTTCTAGGGAGGGAATGAGTTAAGCATGAAGCCCTCTATCCATATAGAGAAAAAAAAAAACAAACCTAATCTAAAACTGTGATAAAAATGCAAAGAAACTTTGACTTAAGACTGTGCCCTTGCCTGCTAGCACTAAATCTGTGTGCGTGGGGAAACAACACTTTTATTAGAAACTTTGGTGTGCCCTTCTCATCCCATCTGGTCCAGTGGGATTTGTGCACCATCCCTGAGAAAACAAAATCAAACCAAAGCAACTCAGATGGTGAGCTGGGGGCTTGCTCTGCGCTGCAGGACCCATGAGAGGCAGCAGCCTTGACACTGTCCTGTCCGCTGGGTCCTGCCATGGCCCCAGGCCTTCCTACAATTGTTAGAGGAGAACTTCACAGTGCTTCAAGTAAGATAAAACAGCTGAAGGCTACATTCTCTCTCACCTGATACATGAGGAGGGAATACATGAGTTCATGTCCCATTCAGCTGTCTTTTAACTCACCCAGTGTAAGAGCCTGAGGCTCTAGAGACAGGGCTGGAGACCTGGCTGAGCCATGGAAGGAGGATCTGGTTCATTGCCTGATCCTACATAAGAATTGTTTTTAACATTAACCTTTTGGTCCTGAGTAACTATGATCTGTGAACCAGTTTGGGAGGCTATAATTAAAGCCAGATTTAATTCCTTTAAGCAGTTAGTACATACTGGAAATACAGCTCTTTTTTTTTTTTTTTTAATTATTGTTTTCTGGTTTTGTTTCTGTGGGCTAAATTCATTTGAGTGTTTAATCCAATGAATCAATGTCCTGATATTTTTTTTTTCTACAATCTGTTTAAACATAACAAAGGTATCTTTGTGCTTTGTTTCCTCCTTTTAATTTTGTCTTGTCTCATCTGTTGCATGGGAAGAGTATGACAAGGATGAACTAACTGCATGTTGTAGGTTGTGTCTGTCAAAGAACTGTTGGTCAGTGTTACAAATTTACATACATATATGCAAAGAGTTTGTCTGCATTGTACAGTTTGTGTTTATTCTTATTTGTTGTATACACAGATTCAACATGATGAATAAAACATTTATATGAAGGCATACTGGAAACCAACAAAAAAGTTTATGTAAGAAGTAGACTGTGCAAAGCATCATTGCATTGGCCACAGGATGGTGAAACTTCATGTAAATAGGTTGGCAAACTCAGTTCTCCCCCTTTACCATGCCAAAGAAAATTTCAGCTCCTTAATATAATACCTCTCTTGCTGTTCTCCAGGATGAGAATTCACCATTTTCTTCCCTCTAAAATTAATTTTGCTGTTAAGTGAAAGCTGTTTTCAACTGTCTGTTACTACTAAGTACTGTATAGTAAACCTGATGGAATCAATTTGTATTTACAGATTGGGGTTTTTGTACTTACATGTGCAGCTGTCCATGAATCTGCAGCGTTCCAGGTCTTTTGCATGCTTGCATTGTATTTTGTTCTTCTGGGTTTCCTCTAATCTCTGAGAGACTGTTCACACTGCAATCTAACCTCATCTTGCCATTTTATATGTTAACACTGCACAGAGTCATTTTCTTCTGGTTTTTTGATCTGTATTTCAGCTACAGTTCTATTTGGCAAAATCAGTCACACCTGCACAGTTTTAGAGATCCAGTTTTGAGGAGATATGAACTACTTCAACAAAGCACTATTTTGCTGTACTTCAAAAATTTTATAAATACACAAGAATCCTTATGAGGTTGTTCACATGATAGAGCCTATGGAAGGGTCTCTAGCTCCTCTTAAGTGCTTTGTAGTTCACATAACAGAACTTCTGTTTAATTTGCTAGGTTTTTTAGCCATTCTCAATTGATTTTTAATATACTGTCATTTTCATTAATGCTGGTTCTTAATAAACCCCTCCCAGCCCCTCCCCTTCACCAGATATAAAGTAAAGCAATTCACTTTGGTATAAAACTGAAACAAGACTAAGAACCCTGGCTTTACATATCGGGGAAACTTTTTGTCTTGGTTTAAAACTAGTTTAAGCAATGAGGTATGAAAGCAGGCAGTTTGGTCCATGCAGTAAAAGTGTATCATGATGATCCATCTGTTTGTTGGTATAAAGAATATATTATTCAGCTACATTCAAATGGGAATGGAAGCAAAATTAGACTAAGTAAGAAGGTTCTCTTTCTTTTAAATGGCCCTTTAGATAAATTCATATTTCATGCAATGCATTCTAAAATGTTTAATAACAGGGTTGTTTTTTTTCTGTGATGACTAATGCAAATGCTATGAATTATTTTTGAAGATGTAATATATTTTTTGTTCAATTACTTAGTCACAGAAATATTCAACTTAGCTTTCTTCATCCCAGTATCATTTAGCTGTATCATTTAGCTACAAAGTGAGATGCCATTCTGCAAAGAAGCAAGGGCAATGCACCAGAAAAGTGAGAGCAAGTACATGATTAAATGCATCTATGTGTTTCTAAGAAATAACATAGCCAGTGGAAAATAAAAAAACGATCACAAGCAGGTTAATAAATTATAGAAGCAAATGAATCCACAGGTTTTTTATAGGTTATATTACAGATATGTTATACACAATAGATATAATCCTGCAAGTCTTTTATAGAAGCACTGGCACACTTCTGGATTGTGTTCTTTCTCACATAAGAAGAAAACAAGGTTATAGTATCTTTTTGTTTATAAGGTTTATCAACCTAATCAGTAAAAAGTCCCCATTTATCCAATTTGGTTTTGCTGTTTGCCACAGGCCTGGAAGCAGGTTTTTACAGTCACTACCTATGAAATATCAAGCAGTAAGTTTCACTTCCTTATGCCTCTTCCTGCATTTACAGTTTATGTATCTCAAATTTCCATCACAGGGAATGGATAAGGAAAAAAGATAACAATTTATTAATACAGATATTATATTCAAATATGTGGAATTATAATCTTATTCCTTCTGATTTCATTTTGCTAGGGAGGAAATGAGCCACAAATACGATATGCTGAGTGTCACATCACCAGTTACCTCAGCATGAAGAGTAGGGGAAATGTTCAAGCAACATTATAGGAAACAGAAGAAAATTTGGAAAAGAATTAATGTGTACATTACATTTTTAGTAGTCTTAGTTAATACTTTAAGGTTTATAGTAATAGCACCATTTTGTTTGATAATTGCATTTAAATGAACCACTGAGAGTAGCCATCTTAGATATTCCAATTTTTTTTTCCAAATGTACGTTAATAAACAACTTGGATAACACTTTTTGAAATGCTATGGCTACATAATCCATCCAGTAGTCAAAAAGGTTGGAGCTGATTGGTTAAAAAAAAAAAATGAAGGTAGAAATAAAAATTACTTTATACTCTTTAAGTCTATAAATTTAAAATTAAAGCAAATGACAAAGTAAAATGCATCAAATACAACACTGGAACCACCTAAACAATTGTTCTTTTATGTATGAATGAGTACATGAAATACCACAGCTGATCTACAGTATATATAAATGTTTTGATGCCATGAAACAAGTCAAAAGGACCTACTGATACCAGATAAGAGTTTTGATTATGTTGTATTTTCTTAATACAGTACTAAATACAAATGGAAGGAAAGCAAGGAGAACTTTGTATCCTTCATTGTTTACACTCTGATTCAGCAGATGAATGTATATGAAAAAAACCCCAGTGATTATGAGATGATTCAGGTCAGCGGTATTCATTATTCATAAATATAAATAAAAGCAACAATTTGTGCTCTCCAGACACTAGGGTTGGCAAAATGCATATATGCTAAAACTTAAGAAAGGATTCCTGTTGAGCCCCATGCAGTTTAAGGGTTTCAAGTATAAAACATAAATTAAAATTTCAAGATGAATTTTACTTTGGAGATTCTTTATGCTTTATGAATACAATTTAAAACTCTGCCTGATACTTTGGTTATCTGATGAGAGAGTAGCTAGCAGCTTTGGGATGTATGTCTAGTTATTTATCTGGATAGCTTATATATAAGTTGGATGTTTGTTAATGGTACTCCCTGAGAATATGGGCTTCACAAGCTTCGTTTTTAGAAAGAAAGAAGCCAGGTTAAGGGGGGAAAAAAGTGGTAGTTAAAGAGCAAGCTATATGGGACAGGGGAATAATAAAGCAGTTAAATAAATTAATTTGAAATTTTGCATTCTATTACATGTTCTGTACCATTATATTTTCCTATTTCAAAACTGTCCTTTCTAAAAGAAAAATAATTTCTAGACTAATAATGGAAATACATTCTTTTTGTTAATACATAGTTCCATTATTTCTGAGTCATGTACCTCTTCAAAAATCAGGACCTTGGCACCTAAACCACAATGCTAAAGTTTGGTATCTAAAAGAAGTATTTTTGAGCCATTTAATCAACTTCTTGCTCAATCATGGTTTCACAAAATGTAAACACTTTTGAAACTAAAATGTATTATTTTTTTTTTGCTCTAAAGAATTCAAGGGCTGCCAAATCTACATGTACAAAAAAATAAGAGACTCATATGTAAATAAGTTAGGGAAGTCCCAATAGTTGTGCATCGTTCATAACTCAATGTGAATTTCACACTGAGCAGCATTTCACCATTGGAAAATAAAAATAAAATTTTTGTTCATACCACTGCTTTGTTTGTATTTACTGTATTAAAACTTCAATTACTTTGTTGCCATTGTCCAAACACCTTTGGCTGAGACCAAGCTATGGCACAGCACAGATCATTTTTCAAGTAAGTTGATGTTCATGTTCCCCACTTCTATGAAAGCAGTTAAATTCAGTGAATTCCATGTGTGCCATGGCAATTTGTCCTGAACAGTAATTTTTAAAAGTAGACAGAATTTTCATCCTAAAAGTTACTAATATAAAATATTTTCATTTGCTTTACATGTAGGAGGTAACTGTAGATACATAGAACAGCACAACAAAAGTACATGTGAGTTGCAGAACACATATGCAAAATAGGCAATCATACTTTTATATCTTTATTTGTTTCATTCCATATGTTTCTATAGGTTATGTATTTGAAAGTATTGTAATATGTAGATTAGATAACCAACTTACTGACGTATCAACCACAGAAACTAAAAGTTCTCTTGTGGAAAAGGTTCCATTCAAACATTTTGGGTCTTCAGCCTATGAGTGTAACATAACTGGACTTCAGCCACACAATTATTTGACCAAATAAAAAATCATTAATATTTTTATAGGCTTCTTTACAGTTTCTCTCAATTTATGAGTTGGTTCATAATCAGGATTGTTGAAAAGAAAGAAGGGCCAAATAATGTATTTTTCACACACCATAAAACAGATTGAACTAATTGTTTGACAAATATTCAACTAGTGCTACTCCTCTACATGTGTATTGTTGCGTAATGATAAGAAGACAGGACAACCAAGTAAATTATGTTAAAAAAAGGGATTTCTTATACCTTTGCCTCAGGTTGCTCAAAGAAATACTCATTATTGGTAAAATATCAGTTTGACTGAAGTTACAAAAAAATCTCTGGAGAAGTTCCATAGGGCCAGTATTTTATGACTTCACCCTCTAGAGAGCTCGGGCTGTCCTGCTCCCTTGTTTAGCTTTCTGATGCATTTCTTTAAGGAGCAGATCCTCAAATGTGTTTTAAGGTATTTACAACTGTGTATGTGTGCGTTCATGCATACCCACACCCAGACACTTCTGAAATTAAATGTCCTAGCAGCCTAAAGAAAAACAAACAAAAAAACCTCTCCTCAATCTTTGGCGTCCTTCATTAAGGGTATTCT